AACAGGGCGGCCTAGATGGAGGACACGTCCCTCGCCTAGACCGCTGCAGAATTGTATCGCTCTTACCGGAAACCAAAAGGGTACGCGTGGCCCGGTCAAGGGGCTACCATTCCACCGACCGAAGGCAATGGGGGAGTGCCCTTGGCATGGATGCTCTGGTGCTCGGAGTCGGCCTGGGAGGTTTTGGCCGTTTCAAGGTACCGAACGTGGGTGAGGATTAAGGGCAAACTAAGGCTGGTTGACTATGAGGAGGACAGGTGGCTTTGGGATGCGTTGAGCAGACATAAGGCCAAACTTAAAGATATAGTGTGCAAAAGGACCGTTGAGAGCTCGCTTCCTGAGGCCTGGCCCCTCTTATATTGAGAGGAAGTTAAACAACGGGTTGAGTTGGGTTCCGAACCAGAGGAGGCCCACCGCAGCGAGGCATGGACATGGAGTAGCACTGCTATTGTAGCAGGTGGAGGAGGCAGCCTTGGGACGCTGCCTATTATGAGACCCGCGGTTGTCGGGAATGCGACCGAGACTGCAAGTGCACCATGTGCAATTATGCAGACTCAATGAAGGTGACACCCGCTGCCCTTATAATGATGAGTCCGTCATGGATGAAGGCTGAAGTCGTTGAACCGCGGGGTGGAAGGAGCTGGGAACTGCGCCAGTTTTGGAGGCACGGGTTCCTTGACAGCGCCAAGGACCCCGAAGCTGGGCGGCAAGCAGGGGAAGGAGATAGAGGGGTGGAAGGCACGGACGGGGAAGGCATTGAATGGCTAGCCCCCAAGGCCGAAAGCGAGGCGGATGCAAACGGTGAGCATGGGGGTACAGTGAATGCAGAAGTGGAGTACCTTGATAGGGCATACGGGGAGGATATATCAGACGTGGGGGCACCTTGCACAGATGATGAAACATGCTACCTAAGTGTGGGCGGGGGAAGCAGCGCGGCATGCGCAAAAAGCATGGATGGAGGTTGGACATTCGTACAGAGGCCATGAGGGTCCGGAAACCGAAGGGAAGTAGCATGAGCTCCTTGTGGTGAGGTGGCGTTCTCAAAGGTTGACTAAAAACATTAGTAATTTGTGCTTTTGCTTAATAAGATATGTTGTGAAAAGTGCTTGAGCAAATAAAGCTATTTGGAGAATGGTTGGCTCAACAGGATGATAATATTGAGCCAGTTCACGAAGTGTGACCGCAATAGTTCTTTATTTGTGTCTCAATAGAATTTAAAGAGCATATTTGAACGGCTGGAAGAATCTAGGCAGTTAGAGTGGAGTTGTGCTTGTTGGTGAGCCGGTTGACCTTAGATTGCAAAACTATAGGGATCTTGTGTGAATAGGTTGATGTGAATAGGAGAAAGGGGCAGAATCAAGTGATTAGCGTGATATTTTATGATCCGTTTGAAGAGCAGAATATTCTAGAGAATCGTTATAGAATATTTCTAGATGGGGTGGTAGCCCCGTGGCCTATAAGTAGCAGGGCAGGGCCCCATTTGGACAAGCGACTCGACCGCGACCAGCTCCTGGGCCGATAGGCAAAGGAACTAGGAAATGGGAACTGAACCTAATAAGTTGCAAAGCAGGTCATACTCCATGGAGGACTACTCTGTAATTATGAAGTTGGCTCCCATTACTAAGTGTCTGAGCTTTCAGTTTAATGGCAAAACTACAGCTGGTCTATTGTGAAAACCTGCAGGGCCCCAAACCAGTTGTAGGTACTGCCAGAAACCAAGGCTAGGAAGTATTGGGGAAACCTACGGGGTCTCAGGTCCAGCCCAATACATTGTGGGGAATCCTTTTGGGCTCCCATTAAAGTATTGAAGTAAAAGGCGGAAGTATTGAGTTGAGAAGGGTATAAACTTAGTAATAGCTCAGAAGACGATCAGTAAAATGCGACAGAAGGTACTGAACTATTGAGCACAAAGTGAGCGATGCTCAACTGAATTCTGGAAGTACTTAAAGGTAATTGACATCAATAAAGCGATCGAATTTTGGTTTTGTTCAATGTGAACATCCTCTGACACTTGTCTAGGTACTGCCCCAACGAGGTCCAGTACAGAGCAAAGAGACAGGAGCTGCAATCAAGCAAAATCATTACAAAATTACAGTTGTACAAGTCCCTTCCATTATCCAGTTAGTCATGTGCAATGCACGTCTCGAAGCATGAGCCGCTCTGAGCAGACCCCAAAAGAGTTGAATTGTGCGATTGGTACGCAGACTCCTGCCCCCAAGATCAATACTTTAGAGTGCTTAGCAGCTCCAGTGAAAGATAATTTGCAGAAAAGTACACAGGAAGATCAAAGACAGTCATAGATAAGGAGTCAGAATTGCCAGCGGCGGAAAAGCTGGAAAGAGTTGTCCAGGAAAGTCTTTGAAAGCTAACTCACATAAAAACATAAAACTTTTCTCATAAACAACAGAGAAACTGGACATAAAGGTGTATGCTGACGATGTGCTAGTGTCTTTAGCCAATGTACATAGTCACGGTACCAGCCCAAAAGTATTGGCTGGGTATCTTCATTAATACCAACCAATTGCTAAAGCTCAAGGGGCTTATAGGTGGCTTGTTTCTGACCTTGTTTTGTGTGAACTTGAGTGCGTACGGTCCCACCCTTGTTGCACGACTTGCAAGATTTTTTCAAAGGGTGTGCAGTATGTGCTGGCACATTCTGTTGTCATTTATGCGCAGTGAGACCTTGCAGCTGGCTGGCATAGCCAGGGAACTTGCCCGCGTAAAACGGCAGCTGAGCTTCCTATAGAACTCTGCACCCATGAGGCGCAGCCAGACCAGGCAGGAAGGGGACGCCGTACCCATCACGTCGTAGCCCATGACGGGTGTTGTCGCTGGCACAGTCAATAGTCCGTTCCACTTCCAGTTGGCCTGCGCTTTTGCAGCTGGAATAGTAGTAGGTTGTTGTGTGTCTTTAGGGTCCCTTTGTTTGAGGATCTGGGTTGGACACATTCTCTAGAGCGCATATACGTGGCCATGCCTCACCAGCCGTAATAGGCAGCCACACGAGATGGCCGTCGAATACTTTCATTTTTCTGGAGTTCTTTCCTTTCTTTTACAATTTGCAATGCTGGCATACCAGGGCTATCCCATGCAGTGTACATCACGCATACAGTCGACCCATCGGGAAACGATCACAGAAGTGAGTCGCCCAGTAGGATGGTGCTCATTATGTGGTTCACCGAACACGCTACAAATATCAACTCTCATGGTCATATTTTAAAACTGCATGGTCGCGCATGCACATGGACGCAAGCCACGCAAAGGTACACCCCTCGCACGCCCCTCCCCATTCGTTCCTTTCGCACAGCGAAGTTGCACAACAACACAAAGGCACAACGGCCTCGGCCTCAGAACTCCATCGCCATGGCCTGCAGCTTCTCCCTGATCTCCCGCATGCACGGCCGCCGCCTGGGGTTCAGGAAGCAGCAGCTCTCCATCAGCTGCCTGTACTGGATCGGGCAGTCCCTGGGCGGCTCGCAGGGCCGCCGGCCCTCGTGCTTGAACTTCATGATCGTCTGCGAGTGCACCGTGCAGCCGCCGTAGGGCGAGGACTGGGACGCGACCTCGTACATTACCACGCCGAAGCTGAAAACGTCCGAGGCGGCGGTCGGGTGGGTGCTCTCGTACGTCTCGGGGGCCATCCACTGCGGGGTGCCCCTGGGGCGCCTCACGGTGCGCGTGCCCGTGGCGGTGTCCTCCGTGGAGATGCCGAAGTCGGAGATCTGGGCCGTGCACTCCGCGACGTTGTTCTTGTCCCCGAACAGCAGGATGTTGGGGCTCTTGACATCGCAGTGGTACACCGGCACGTCCTTGTTGTGCATGTACTCCAGCCCGTCCGCCACCTGGTCCAGGATCTTGACCCGTGACCGCCAGTCGTGCAGCCTCTGGCAGCCTCTCTCTAGGTCGCAGGTGGCCAGCTCCATGACCATCTGGCCGGACCTGCTCACCGCCAGCAGCTTAGCGACGTTTGGGTGGCTTAGCGATGCCTGCGTGCAGGCCTCTGTGAAGAACTGCGCGAATTCTTCCAGGCTCAACAGGGGGTCCTCCTCCCCCCTTAGCTTTTTCACCGCCACCTCCTGCCCCCGCCACTGGGCATGGTACACAACAGACCCGCTCCCGCCGATGCGCTCCCCAACGGCAATGTCCTTGTCCTCAACTATCGTCAGGTGCTCCAGCCGCAGGAGGTGCTTGTCTCTGACTTTTTGCCACACCGCCTTGGTCTTCTCGTCAATGCTGGCATCAAGGCTCTTACCCAAGAAGACGAACTCTAGGAATGACCGCAGGGCTTTCTTGTCCTCAGCCACAGGCTCTGGGGGCACAAAGTACTGGAACCAGTCATCTGGCGCCCACTGCTTCGCAAAGCGATTCATCGGGTCCAGCACCTTGCCAATGCCCTCCTTTGCCTCTTCAACCCTGTAGAACTTTTGCAGGTTGAAGTTTGTGTGCTGCCGTATCAGCCTCTCACTGGTCAGCATGCAGTCGCCCAAGTCATTCCAAAGGTCCCTCCAGGGCTGCTGGCCGCCCTGTTCGATGTGCTCTTTCTCCATCACTCGCTTCATGGTCCTCTCTGTTATGTCCATCTGCTCCAACAGGAACTCCATCATTTTGCAGTTGTACTTCACAACTGGCACATGCTCCCTGGCCTTCTGGACGCAACTGAAGATGCTCTGTGCGACGGCACGGGCTTCCACCTGCAGCAACGACACTATGCTGAGTGCTCAGGGTTGTCCTGTCTGGCTACCGATCTAGTAATCGTAACACATATGCATCTGCACTGCAGCAACGACAATGTGCTGAGTGCTGAGGTCTGTCCAGCCTGGCCACCAACTCAGTAATAGCAACACATGTGCATCTGCATAGCATCAATTTTCTCTACTGATCAATCATATGTGTCAATACTCTCAGTGCCCAATCGTGCAGCATATCTGGAAATGGAAATCCTCCAGAACAACAGCATGCACTTCCCAATCAGGATTGAAAAATAGAGAGCGTCAGGGAAAGAGGACTCACCTCACGGACCCACTCCTCTGACAAGTTTGACAGGCGCTGGTTGACCTCCTCCATGGTGGGCCTCTCAGAGGCTTTGACCTTGCAGCAGTGCCTCATCAGCTCCAGGAGCTCATCTGGGCAGTCTCTCTGCTTCACGACACAGGGCTCAACCCCTTTCAACTTCTTCTCCAGCATTTCCTCCTGGCTCGATCCAGCTCCATATGGCGTCGCGGCGGTGACGACCTCATACATGACGATGCCGAAGCCGTACACATCCGAAGCAAATGTGGGGACCTCGCCCTGGCACACCTCTGGCGCCATCCAGAAGTGGCCAGTCACTTTGCTGGGCAACCTGGCCCTGGCCACCTTCTCCTCGATTGCCGCGCCGAGATCGCTGATCCTTACCTTGCAATTCGTCAGGTCTTTGTCACCAAAGGACAAAAAGGTTGAACTCCTGACGTTCTGGTGCACCACGTGCTTTCCAGTGTGCAGCCGCTTAAGGCATGCCGCAGACTGCTGCAGAAGCTTGAGCTTGTGGGACCAAGCCAGTGACCTGTTGTCCAGGCATGCGAACTCCAGGTCGCTGTCCGGGTGCTCCATCACGATCCAGCCAGACGTGCTGGTCGCGAACAACCGGACTATTTTGGGATGATCCAGCTTGGGGTACATGCACACCTCCCTGTAGAAAGCGGCGAAGTCAGCAGGGCTCCCAAGGGACAAGTGCTGGCCGCCAGGGGTCACAAACTTTACAACCACCCTGCCGCCCTTCCACACAGCTTCATGCAATGTACCATGGGCACAACTGCCGATCTGCTGCCCCACGGTGACGTGTTCATCGCCGACAACGTGCACACGCTTCCGCATTGACAGGTATGTCTTTCTAGCCACAGCCCAGTCCTCTGGAATCGCATTTTGGGCGCCATCCGGTGGTTCGCCGGTGAACACATGGGCAAGAAGGGAGCACAGTGTCCGTGTATCTTCATTGAAGCACTTCTTCAGAGCAGCTTCGTCAACCTCAAGGATGGAGTCCACATTCCACTTGTGCAGGATCGCTCGGAGGTCGCTGCACAGGTCGTGCACGTGGCGATGCACCTCATCTGGAGTGTAGAAAAACGTGAGGTCGATTGGCGTCGAATGGTATTTGATCAGGCCTTGCGCCTTTGAGAGCACTTCCTCATAGGCATGCAAGGACTCGACTGGAGCCGATGCAGGCCTGTTGGCCCTGTTTGCAATCTCAACGTGCCGATGGAGGAACTCCAGCAGCTGCTTGTTGTATGTCACCTTTGCATGTACACAACATCGCATGTGTCGTTTGCCAGCTGGGAGATGGGACGACAACTGTCTGCAGCTAAAGCCCCACAGCACAGCCAAAGTTGGTTGCTGGCCAGGCGCCGGACAAGCCCTTGATAACATTCCATGGCACCAGCATGCATACAATGTACAGCCCTTTGCCAGAGTGCCAACTTGTGGCCAACTGGGCAAAAGCTGGTCACACCATCAACAAGAAGGCACCTCGTGGGAGCAATATCATGCACTCACTGCTGCCATGCCTTCCTTGTACAACTGTTGACGCCTTGTATCAGCATAGCTGTGGCTCTGAAAGGCACACAAAATGCAATTGAACATCAGGGCAACAAGACTCTGGAATTGACAAGACCAAAGTAAATATTTTAGGTGGCAACAACTATACACAATGTGATCAAGCACCCTTTCGTTCAGCTGGGCATGGGGTACCGTTGCCAACAATCAGTTCTTGACAAGAAGGGGATGGAGCGTGAGCCTTCTCTGCTAAAAAGGCCACTGCAGAGACCGGCCAGGGCCAATCCGAACCGGAACCTTCCGCCAAGGCACTCACCACGTTGAGCGAGGGGTACGGCCCATTGCTTCAACCTCCGTCGCCGGCCCTTGGGGCCTCAAGTCGCCTGCGCAACGGCGGGGAAAGCAATATCCCTCGACACTCCTGCTGTCGTCTCTCCTGAAAGATCGCCACATAGGCTGGGAATGAGCACGAAAAGGCCATTCGCAGCAGATGGGGGAAGCATTCATGGCAACGCAGCGATAGAGGCAGGTTCATGGGTCAGCACGACACGGGTCGCCGTTCACAAGGCCGGGAGTCCACAGCCCCAACGCGGCCATATTCGTCAAGCCCACTTCGCCGATCGGCTCGTCCTTCCTTCGATCTGAGCGTACGACCCACCGCATGCCCACGACTGATCGGCTTGCACAGCTGAGGTCCCGAATACACGGAAAATTCAAAACGGCTCTGGCGGGAAGCAGCCAGCGATTGGCGCGCAAAGCCACGAAGATGCCAATGGACGCCAGGGGGCACAATGCCACCGCACGCAATCGGACAATGCAGGGCACGGCCATGGCTGCCAGTGCCTCCTCCACCCTGAGGAAAGGATGAAAGGGGAGAACGGGGTGTGTGTGTGTGTGTGTGTGCCAAAGCTGCCAAACTACCATGGCCCGCAATGGCGATACCCTGAGGGCGAAACGCACCGGTAGAACCGAGGTGTGGGGGCCCTACCTTTTGGAGAGGTGGCGGGGGGATGGGCGCAGCGGGGCTGTGGCCTATGGCCGCCTGGCTCGTGTCTTAAGTCCGTGGGAGGGGTCGAAGGGGGCCCGGAAACAGGAAGACGGTTGTCAGGTGCACCCAGATTCGGGAGCGTGCGTGGCGGAACGACGTCTGGGAATACTCGGAATCCAGTAGTCTGCCGGCGGTGCAGAATGTGCGGTGGTGTCGCCACAATTAGGGTCCAGCAGCTGCCAATTACTCCCTATGGCATTGCGTGCAGAGTTCAGGGTGGAAAGCTACTGAAGACACTCAGATGCCGACAAACAGAGTCCCAAAGAAAACAACCTCTCCCACGATAGTCTCTAAATTTGGTTCGTTAGAATAGACCAATACGACTTGCTTCGATTTCCGATCTTTCAACTCCTCCGAGTGCTGAATTACTTTCTTTGAGCGTGAACAACGTTTAGATGAGAACACGGAGGGGGGCGGCTCTCAATTCGCTAGTACCCTCTGGTTAGGGGCGCGCTGGCGAAGCGCCGCGCTATTCCTGCCACCTGGCATGGTATCGTGCTTCTGCGCCTGGCCACTGTCGAAGCTCCCTGTCCCTGGCTCGGAGTCCCTGTTTGCTTGTTTGATCGGTCAGGCATATGAGGTTGGGTCGCAACGTAGCAAGCCAAACCTTCTGAGTTCCAGGTCTCGGTGAGCCTCTTTATGGCCGCGGAAAATAAAAAGTACCTGTTGTGCATACTTTAATGTAAAAGCACAAGGTTTTACTTTATTCATAACCAAAAGCAAGGAAGCTACCAAACAAATCTTGCCTCCTGAAGGCCTAGATCATCGCAAGTGTTCTTTTTCGCCCACCAGAGCTCACACTCAGAACGGCGGACTGAACTCACACTTCACACACGTAAAACACGCAACCCCATAGCACCGACCCATAGCATTGACCCACGGCACCGACCCACAGCTCCAACCCATAGTACCAGCTCACGATCACCAAAGTTTATTGTTGTCCAGCCATCCTCCCGTCATCTCAATCATGTCAATGTGTGCACCAGTCAGCCGCCCCATGAACAGGTGCTTGCACAACATGGCAGCTGCGGCTGTCTCGGTGTATCAGACTTTCATCTCTTTAAACTGGCTGTTTAATCTGTATTCAATTTTCTCGTTATGTTTCACTGCGCATCAGTGTTCAGCCACCGACCTCCGGACTTGAGAATTGGAAATTTGCGTGTGAAAAGTTGAGAAAAGGAGACAGTCATTCAAAGATATTGTTGATGGCATTCTTCGAAACGGGGTGCTCATATCCCACCATTTAATCATCGGATTACAAATCAGTGATTGACGG